GCTTGTCTGCTTGCCTGCCTGTCTGCTTGAACCTCACCATAAAGTGCAGCCTTGATGTCCAGAAAATATCAGTGTGGCAGGGGTGGGGGAGAGGAGGAGGACTGTCATAACTAGGCAGAACTCAAAGCCAGGTGAAGATGCATTCCTCTCACACTAACAATGCAAAGCATTGTGAAAAGTACGCAGACGGAGAGTGATTTCAGCAAAGCGTACTTTATTCAGTCAGGAACAAGACAGCTTTGGCCGGCTCGCAGGCCGGCTTATATTCCCCAAGAAACCGCCACCCAAAACACACCCAATAGGTTATTTACAGTGGCCGAGAGTCCCATTGGCTTCTTGGCCAGGAACCTAGCCCCCTGATTGGAGCGGGCTAGGATCCACATAGTCCATTGTCTCTTGGAGCGAAGCTCTACGGTTGTCCCTGGACATGTCTGGACTTGTCGGGACTTGTCAGGACTTAATACACTACACATTGTGAAAATAAGTGTTGTGTATTGGGTTTAATGTTATGCTCTTTGAAGTGTCTTGGTATCCTAGTTTTCGCATTATGATTGGCTGTCTAATAAAGACCATCCATTGGTCCTGAAGCCACCCAGGGTAATCAATTGTAGAACTCTGCTTAGGTCCAATGAGACCCCGTGTTTACTGTTACAATGTATATAGTTTTCTATGAAATCGTGTAAGTTCGAGTGCCGCTCTATGTAGAGTTGTTCAGTCCGGAGCTGAGCAATGCTTTGAATAAACCTTCTTTCGTTTGACCATCGTCTCCTGCCTCTTCAATACACAAAAATAAGCATCAGACAAAATAAGACTCCGACAAGACAATGACTCAGCCCTACCCACCTTCTGGAGTAGATATAAATTTACTGCCTACCATTTTCTTCTCATCTTGACACAGAGAGTATTCCATCTTTCTGTGTTTATACCTCTGAGGATGCCAGTCACAGCTACTGGCGAAACGTCAGGTTCTACAATGCCAAGACCACAGCCACACATCCCGGAAAATCTACAGCAACTAAAGACAAAGGAAGATTATAGTGTTTAGGTCCAAAAAAGAGTCGTACCTAGTAGTCAACAGGAGCAGAGTTTCTCTGGGACCTCTTATGAAGCCATCTGTCTTCTCTCAGCACCTCTTTCTCTTTTCTTTTTTTTGCCCCCCGAAGGGCATTTTTTAATTTGCATTTTCTATAAACTACAAAAAACTACAACTAAAGATTGAAAGGGGAAAGGAAACTATGCCCTATCACTATAACTATGGGAAATGGGAAACGGATAGACTAATACATAGAAACTACTTGATGGGGAAAGGGGACCACTATTCTAAACTATATCATCTATTGGTTTGGGGAAAGGAGAGCTAATACATATCACGATCTTATTAGCTAAAAATAAGGCTTATTAACCTAATATTACAAGTTTGGTGTACAATTTAATTCACTGCAGTATTGCTTTAAGAGTATGCATTTAATAGCTTAGCACAAATTCTGCCTTTAAGAACTACTGCTGTTGTTCTAGAGTCTTTTCTTCCTGTGTTTCTTCATTTTCTTGGGTTTAGGGGTGGCTACTCCTTTCTCCAATTCTGATGATTCTGGAAGCGCCTCTTTATCATTGGCCTTTTTGCGCGTGTGTGTTTTAGCAGCTACATTTATGTCACCCTTTTCATTTTCCTCACAATAAATAGATGATGCCAAGGAGTTTCCTGGGCTAGCCTTCTGCCTGGCATGCATAATAATGCCTCCCACAATAGAGCCCAAGACATAGAATTTTCTGTACTAACTGCCACAATACAGGACAAGATGGCTACAGAGAACTCAGTCAGTTTCAGACTATTCTCACCTATGGCCTGCAATTTGTTAAAGGGATGGGAAAACTGATTAGTAAAAAAAAAAAGGAGTGGAGAAGGCACCAACTCAGAACTTACCAGTGCAAATCTATGCAGAATTACTCTTGCCCAAACTCGTTAGTTTACATAACGGTAACTCTTCATAGGATTGCACTGTAATGTCCCCCTTTGGCTGTGTGTTCCCACAGGTTAGGGTACTCACTCAGGCACCTGTTCTTAGGTCCATTCAGCAGAGGCAAGTGGGCTAAAATATCGGACATTTATTAGCAAGGTGACAACTCCAACAACCAACAACTCCAGTTAACATACAAAACTGGAAACTGAAACAAGAGCTCCACCCAATAGGACCAAACTAAATCACACAGATATTAGCAGAGGAGCAGACTGTTCCATTACATACATACATGTATACAATAACTATACCACAGCACTGAAAAAGGGGAAATCACAAAGACACAAGAACGGATGTTGTTGTGTCTCAATGCATTTGAAACTTTTCTTCAGAGGCAACTGAAAGCTTTTCTTAACAGAAGTGGCATGCTAAGATAACTTAAAACAGCTTTTAAGAACTATGTTCAGTTGCTCCTGAGGAAGTGTCTTTGACTTGAAATATGTGCGGTCATAACAAAAAGTATTGGTTTTGTGAACCTTTCAATCTCTATGTCTGTTTTGTTTCTAAACTGATTTCCACCAAGGACTCCTAAAGAAAATAGGATATAGCTTCCACATTACAGTTGATAGCCATATTGTATTTATGCCCAGTTAATAATTTACCTAATGTGGTGGACAAGGCCATTGATGCAATTTCTAGCCTGCACAAAAACATATCCACCTGATGGCAGATGGCCGAATGATAAAGGGCAGGTTCCACTCAACTACTTCTGCTGTCTCCCCCCCTCCCTTTTCCTTTGTAAAAGCCCCTTCCAGGCCCACACCAAGGTTGCGGTGTAGAAATATGCACGTTCAGAGTGGAACTCTTTAGTGAGCCATGATGAGGATCATCCATAATGCTCTGAAGCCATTTTATTGCATTGGTATCTGAGAAAATAAGTGTTAAAAATTAGGCTACGGTCACATGAACAGTTTGTGCTGATATTGTTGCGGTACCTTTGCAGATATAAAGAGCACAATCAGACAACATCTGCCT